AAAAGTCAAGAGCACTTCAGAGACTCATGGATGACACCACGATGGCTGTATGTTTAATATGCAGTCTGTGTGCTTGCTGTGTGTCTGGGAGTTTTTCTTCTGTAACAAATAAAGGCTGGTTTGCAGTTTCACAGATTGCTTATGAGCCTCTGTCAGTGACTCTGCAAATATTTCACGTTAAATGTTTCCCAGAATGGTGATAGGGTTTTAATGTGACAAATGCTGGAACTGCTGCTTTTCATTGATTGAGAATAAATGTGACTGGAAACAAGTTTTCTACCACAGCAACAAAGAGAAAGTGAGAGCAGCAGAACTATGTGTACAACGTGAGTCATCCAAACAACAAGTAAACAGAGGAAAACATCGAAGCAGCTCCAGATATCATATGAGGAAGATAAACTTAATGGATGGACACAGTTTGAGCTTCTACAAGTCTGAACCCTGAGTCATGTTGGCACGCGTCAGTTCAGTGGAAGTTTAGTCTTCTTAGAATAAGCTTGTCAAATTGAATTAAATATAGTTTTTTTCATTTCTTCTTGCTAGGAGGAGTGAAAGTATTTAGTCCACCAACATTTCAGACTGGTCTAACAATTTACTTTAGCACGAGGGTTTCACCTTCACCTCCAGTAGTACTGTGAGGCACTCCGGAGTCACTAACTCATACTTTTGACAAATATCTAGGACTGCCTTCCTGGACTTGCATATTGTCAGAAACAGGAATAGTTAGGATACCAGCTATAGTTCATGCATGCAATTATCGGGCTGTCCTTAAACACCTCAGCTGATCTGCAATCCTGCAGCAAGAGTACAAACAGGAACTAGAAAGAGACATTTCCCCACTTCTCTCATTGGTTCCCTGTTAAAGTCTGTGAAATTTAAAATCCTTCTCCTCAGAAAAACACTCTTGAATGATCAGACCATATTATCCCAATGGAGCACTTTGCTCTCAGACAGCAGGCCTGCCTTTGGTTTCCTAGAGTTTCCAAAAGTAGAAGAGAAGCAGCATTTGGGAGACAGACACCCACTATACTTTTAAATTTAGGCTTCAAACTTTTCCTTTTTCAAACTTTCAACCTTTCTTTTTAATAAAGCTTATAGTTAGACAACCCTGAAATACTCCTTAGTTACATGTGGGTACGGGTCCCATAAGCACCCTTCCTGTCTTTCACTCGCAGTGAATCTATATAAAATTGCAGTATCCCTCTGCAGGTGCTCTGCATATTTCTGATCTGGAATTACAGCTAGAAGTCTCTCAAACCTTTTCCCTCTCCTCTCTAAATAATGAAGGCAGATGTCCACCCCACCTGAGTCAGATTCTTTATCTTTGGGGGGGTTTCTTCCCTACTGTCACCAAGTGCATCTCAGTGGGGGATTGTTGGGATTATATATATA